ATACCCTGGCTACACAGCTGCTTTTGATTAATACAAATTAATGTTATTTCGATGTCTAGGGAAGGGGGTGGGGGATCTAGGGGGTGTTGCATCTAATTGTAAGAACACATAGGCAAATGGTAGAATTTTAGATGGATTCCCCATCACTCCCTTCCTCCACTCTGGTCTCTACATAATGGAGAGTGTGAGTTCCATGAGGGCAGGACTGTGCCTGGTTTTATGTCATGTAATTCCCAGTTCTTAGCACATAGTCACATACATTGAATAGTTTATGAATTACTGACAAAAGAACGAATGAATGAATGAATGAATGAATGAATGAATGAATGAATGAATATAGAGACATGTAAGCAGAATAGGGTGTGGAAGTGGAGTGGAGGAGCTGAAAGGGATAATGGTTTATTCCTGATTACCCTGGAGCTTTAAAATCTGAAATGGTAGACGAGTGAGATCACAATGTACAAAAGTCAGTTAAAGTTCTTTATTGTGATGTTCAGCAAGCAGCACTATTTTCCGCTGGGTTCTGGGAAGTAGGTAAAATCAACATGGGTCCTTTAGCATCAGCGAGGCACCCATGCAATAAGTCAAAAGTAGGGGAAGGAAAAGCATGAAAATTATATGTATCATTTATTTAATTCTCACAACCACCTCATGGGGGATATTCCCTCCCCCTTTTTTTATTGTGGTAAAATACAAATATAAAATTTATCATCCTAACCATTTTTACGTGTGCAATTTTAGTGTTATTAAGTTAAACATTCATATTGTTGTACAACCATCACCACTATCAATCTCCAGAACTCTTTTCATGTTGCAAAACTGATTCCCTGTACCCATTAAGCACTAACTCCCCATTCCTCCCTCCCCTCAGCCCCTGGCAACCACTGTTGCACTTTCTATCTCTGTGGTTTTGACTATCCCAGGTACCTCATACAAATGGAATCCATTTACATTTAAAGTAATTACTGATAAGGAGAGATGTATTTCTATCATTTGGATATTTGTTTTCTATATGCCTTATAGCTTTTATATTCCTCATTTTCAGGGGGGAAATTTTCATGTCTCTACTTTACAGTTAAAGAAACTGAGGCTTCAAGAAATTTTCTGAACTATCCAAGGTCACCGAGAGGCAGATTGGGAATCTTTTGACTCAAGAGTCCTTGATTTTTCCATCGGCTATGTGCCAGTGTGTTTTCTAAGTTCTGGGAAAATGCAGACAAGCATGTGACACGGTTCCTGCCTTGCTTCAGTGGGCAGCAATTTTCTTAGGAACATTATTAGACAGACACAGATGAAAGGATTTCTAGAAGTGCAGGGAAACCCAGGATACCCATCCAATGGGACAAAACGTATGTCCTGTAAGAATTCGGAGCAGTGCCTCTCATCCTGCCTTGCTGACCATAAGTGCCTATGGATGTAACTGCTTGAATCTCATGGTTCTGTTCTTAATGTCATTTGAAAGGGATTAGATCCAGCCCTGCTCTGTGGGATCTACTCTCCACAGCAGATGGGTTCAGCACTAGATAATAAGAACTGTAAAAATGGGTACACCATTATGCCCAGAATTTGCCTAATGAAATATCTGTTTTAGTAAAAATATCTATGAGGATGCTCATTGCATTATTTTTTTTTTTACAATAGTGAAAAAGTGGAGGGGATATAAAGATTTAACAATAAGTTATATATTTATATTTTTATAGTGGAATATTATGCAACCATTCCAAAGTTAGTAAAAATAATATATATTGGGTTGTCGGAAAAGTCATGGCGCATTTTTGCAATGAAAAACATAGAAAAATATGCATCATGACTTTTCCGACAACCCAATATTTATTATGGTATTATACATTAATACTATGTTAATATATGATATATGATTTATATATTTATATATAAAGTTATATATGTAAAAAAACCATTTGTTATTCACACATAAAATGATGTCATTGAAAAATGGGTATATATAGCTATGAGTGTGAAGAGTATATATACCAAAATATTGTGATGGTTGTTGATAAAGTGGAATTGTGGCTGAGTTTTATCTCCTTGAGCTGTTTTATATCTTCTAAGCCATATATAATGCCAGTATATTATCTTAATCATTAGAAAAAAATAAATTTCGCTTAAAGATGGATGCCATGTCAAACACAAATGTATGCCTAACCATTTTATTGTAAAGGAAGTCATGAATTGGGACATGAACAAAGACAAGTTCTCATTATTGCATACTGACTGCATATATATTTATTTGAGACTGGAAACAGGAGTGGAGTCTTTGACAGGGATCATCTGGTTGCAGGGACTACGTAACTTAAGAAAAAAATGTATTTGTTGTTAAAGTACCTGAGAAAGTATAGCTCAGGCTTCGTGAAGAAACTGGAATAAGGAGGCACAAAGGGTATTTGAAGGTCAAGTAAGTATTCTCTCCAATTCTCTTGGCCTGTGTGGTTTCCTCTGTCACTATTGGCACATCTGCTGTTTTTTCTCTCTCTCGGACCTGACTTTCCAGCTGCTTAGCAGGTTGACTGTCTGGGCCCCGTATGACTTTCTAGTTCAAGTACTCAACAGAGACATTCCAGAGTTTCTGTCGATTGTTCCAGATTCACGGGAGAGAGAAGATGATTGACATAGTGTATATCATTTAGCTTTTGCTACATGACACACAGACCCAAAACTTAGAGATTTACAACAACCAATTATTTCACTTCCAAGTCTGTGAGCAGTTCTTCTGGTCTGGGCCAGGCTAAGCTGATCTGGGCTGGGCCAGTCAGCTCATGGATGATCTATGGACTGGCTAGGCTAGGATTGCTTCTCTTGGGGTGGCCCTCCTCACTATGGTATCATCCTCCAGCAGGCTAGCCCGGGCTTGTTTGCATGGTGGTCTCAAGTTTCCAAGAAGGAGCAAGAAAGCATGCAAGGCCTCTAGAGGCCTACTCTCAGAACTAGCAAATGGCACCTATTGATACATGCTACTGACCAAAGCAAGTGATAAGGCCAGCCCAGATTCAAAGGGGGAAGAAATAGACCCCTACCTTGATGGCAACAATTACGAAGTTACATTGTTAGGTGTGCAATTACATGGAGGGAAAGAAATCTGGCTATTTTTGCAGTGTGCACATAATCTGCCAGGGACTGAGTGACACAGGCTCCGTCTTGTGGCTGCACTACCTTTCCATCGCCCACATCGCCCACTTGGTTGTTGTGACAGGAGAAGAGAGAGACTGAGGAACCGTGCATAAGCTTTTCATTGTTTCAGTCTGGAAGTGACTCTTGTCATGTCCCATGACCAACACCAGTCACATGGGCTCCACCTCACCGCAAGATGGCAGAAGAATGAGTCAATGGAGTATGTGGCAAGCATCACTGCCTCTGCCACAGTGAGCAGACCACAGAACTAACTGATTATTCACAAGATTAGTGTCAGAAGGGTAGAGGGACAGGTAAGGCTGGTACTATAACAGTATCAGAAGTTATGGTTGCTAGATGGGAGGGGGGTGGGGATAAGAGAGAAGGGGGAGGGATTAGACAGCATAAATAGGTAACTACAATATTGCCACAGGGATATGAAAGACAGTTCAGGGAATATAATTAATAATGTTGTAAATACTTTGTACGGTGTCAGATGGTCACATGTCTTGTTAGGGAGACCGCTTCATGGACAGTGTAGAGGCTTGACCACTGCACTGTACACCTGAAGCTGATGTTGAATAATATTGTATGTCAAATATAATTATATATATATATATATATATATATATATATATATATATATATACACACACACACATATATATAGTCATGGGATATGGGGTATAGTGTGGGGCGTGGAGTCAATGGAATTGTAATAGATATGTATGATGTGGAGGTGGGGAGTAGGCGGTGGATTGAGGGAGTGGGGCTGTCACTTTGTGAGGGGTAAAAAGTATAACTATTGCACTGTTTTGTACACCTGAAACTAATTTTTAAAAAAAGAAAAAGAAAGGTATCAGAAGTTATGTGAAGCCCTTACAGAATCCATAGGGCAGAAGGGTGAGCCCAAAGGAGTCAGAGTAAGCAAGAAGAAAATCCAAGTAGCTCAGCATCCAATAGCCCAGACATGTTCCACCCAGACCCATGCAAAATCTTCCTTACATTTTCTATCTGCTCCTTGAGCTAAGCCAGCCCTGGAGACTAACACAGGAGAGTCCACAGGTAGGAATCAGTGTTCTAGAATCAAATGTTGAGAGGCGCTGAAGTCATAGTCAGGAAAATGAAGCTGAATATCAAGTTCAAAGGAGAAAGAAGGAAAAGGAATGCCAGGCAGTAAGGTTAGCAGCTTGCAAGGGCTGAGGCAAGATGGAGTGGGGAGTGAGGAGTAAGTCTGGGGCTCTGTGAACAGGGAAGCGTATATGAATCTCCTCAGCTTAGCACTGTGGCCACAAGCTGTGGGGAAGGATCCGAGTTCTCATTCTGTGCACTGTTTGGTTGCAGGGGTGAGAGAGGGACCTAACCAGACACATCAGACTGGACGCTTAAGACTTCAGATTTAAGCCTTCAGTCTCTCCCTAGGGTTTTCCCTCATTCACCCATTTTGATCTCTTTGTCTCTCAGTCGGCCTTTGTAACATCTCATTCTACTAACTGCTTCCTGCAGTTTCTCACACCTGAGATTTTAACTTTTGCAGCAATCTCTACTTTGCAAATACTTCTGGTAAGAAGACAAGTTAATTTTTTATAAGGTGCAATGTCCAAAATGTTAGTCACCATTGATGAGGTCTCCTTTGAGTTTCTACCTGAACTTCCTAAATGATGTGGTTTCTGCCTCACAGAAAGTACTACAAAATCCAGGTAGGGCAGGAATGCCCTCTGAGGAGGCTGCCACTCCCTACTCCACATGTGGATTTAGCTTGATGTCTTCCCATCAAGAGGAGACAAAAGGCATTGATCTGAGCAGCATACTGGGGTTGGTGAGAAATAGCATGAGGGGGAGCCTTGCTTGACCTGTTTTCCATTGCCTTGCAGGTCAGTGGGACCATGTACAACACTGGGAGACATGTGTCCCTGCGCCTGGACAAGGAGCACTTGGTCAACATCTCAGGAGGGCCCATGACATACAGCCATCGGCTGGAGGAAATACGGCTCCACTTTGGGAGTGAGGACAGCCAAGGGTCGGAGCACCTCCTCAATGGACAAGCCTTCTCTGGGGAGGTAGGTGGGGTTGTTGCAGTACTAAGGTTAAGTGCTAATTAATGAGATTTGGCGCCTGTGTATATACATGGTAGGATGACAAAATAAAAGATTTCTCTGGAATCTAAGAAGGTCTTTGCCGCCTTTCTCCATCTGTCTTTTTTGCAAGTTGACATGGACGCCTATAAGAAGCTTCCACTGTGTTCCAGGGAAGGCCACAATCAAACAATATTTTCTCTGAGACATTGGTGTACTTCTCTTGTGACTCATGCCCGAAAATATCTCTGGAGCATTATTTCAGCTCCAACCCCTTCCTTTTCATATACATCCTCACTTACTCCTATCTGGGCAACCAGCCTCTCATATGTCACCTATGACAGCATAGATTCCGTCATTCTCCCTTCCGGTAGAACGGGCATTATTTGCACAAAACTAGAATCTACTGTGAAATAAATGCCAGGCAGCTAACTAGTCTGCCTGAGCTTCATGTGCAACCATTAGCAGTGAGCATCACTGTGTGCCACCATCAACGTAGACAGAGCAGGCCACAGCAGCGCGCCAAGCCAGTTTCAATTGCAGGATGAACGCTACAGTTTAAACAGATGGTATCTGTGTTATGACACTTGACAAGCGGGGCAAAGTGTATTTGACCTGTTTTACCTCTCTTACTTGATGAGGATGGTTATCAACTAGGGGCCAGGGGCCCTTATATGCTAAATATCCTATACTAGGTTTCTGTTTAAGAGTCTTCAGTAGCTGATATCAAGACAGCTTTGAAGTAACAGAAATATGTATCTCATGATCGACTTGGTCTTTTTAAGTTTTTCTAATCAAGAGCATGTTTAAACTGGGCAAAGTTTTTCATATAGTGAGGCCATACACTGAAAAAGATGCACGGCCTTAATGAGTCCAGTGGCCAGATTTTAATGATTGTTCAAAACACTGGGAACCTACCTAGGTATTCTGCTAGTTACCAGGGATACAGAGATTTTGAAACAAACAAACAGAAAAAGAAACAGAGCTCCTACCCCAGAGGAGCTCAAAGATTGCTATATTCACATCATTAAAGTATAATGTCATGCTGTAATGGAGATGTACCAGCTCAAAAGAGTTGACGAATTTTACTTGAAGGAGCCAGGGGAAGCTTCAGAGAAGAGGTGCCCTTTGAACTGGACTGAGAAGGTGGGTAAGGCAGAACAATTTTAAACACTTCAGATTTCAAGTCAAATAACCTGAGTTTGTACCTCCTGCTTTGATACACACTAATTGTGTGATCTTGAGATGGTTAGTTGATCCTTCTAAGACTGAGTTAGACAGCTCACAAAGTTGTTTTGAAAATTAAGTGGGATTCCAGATATAAGGAGCACTAGTACTCAATGGTTGATAGACAACAAAGGTACGCAGGAAATAAGGAACCACAAAGACACCAAGGTGTGTCAGAGCACTGTGAGTTGGGGAAGTGGCAGGTAGATTTCATCTCTGATCTATTAGTGATGGCTGTGCAGAGGACTGCATTGAACTGAAATATGAGTCTCCTTCCTGGATCTGTAGGAAAAACAATGCTGGGATTGATTAGGGAGGTCTGCCAAAGGCACTGTTATGGAAAACTCCCAGAAGTTACTGATCCTAGACTAGAGCACCACAACAACTCATGAGTTGAGAGTGACTGGAGACTGCCAGTCCAAATTAGAGAAGATTCAAAATTAGATCAACTCTTCCTTTTAAAAACACATATGATTTTAAGATTTGTGATTATTTTATTTGTTGACGTGCTCATTCATTTGCTGTTATTTCTTTGTTTTTCTGGATACTGATGTATTCCAGTGCCTCTCACAATATCACTGGGTACTGTTGTATTCCATTGCCAACACAATGTTGCCTTAGAGTAAAAATGAATCAAGTTATTCAATGAATGAGTGAAAACATATAGACGGTTACTTGGCTAAAATCTAACATTGTAGAATTCCTTAGAGTTGCTTGTTTCTTCAATATCTAATAAGGGTGCTTTGTAATTTGTATATGAACTATAATTTTGGAGTAGGTGAGTGCTTCCAAAATCCTAAGGGAAGCATGTAACAATTTGATCTATCAAGGCATTAATTTTACTAGACCCACCCCAGACCACAGGTATCAGACACTCTAAGGAATGTCTAAAAGCTCCCAGGACAGGCTGACGATGAGATTTGTGAAGCACTCCCTCAATCATACATTATTAAATGTTCTCAATGAAGAAAGCATTTAAACACAGTTGCAAATCAGAATTAACTGGAGATCATTATCAAAATACTTACCTTTGAGTCCTTCTCCCATAGCAACTGAATCAGAATCCAGGAATGGGGTCCAGGTAGGTGAATTTGTAAGAATTCCCCCAAGAGATTTTGGTTAGTGACCACTGTGCCATTTTCAGCTCAGGCTTTGCCTGAATTCTCCCAGTTTTTTAAACATTGAGGACTTAATCAACAAAGCAGAAAAATTTGAAAAGGGGTACCCAGAGGTAGTTGCCCCCTGGAAATGGCAAAGCTGGATGCTCTCTAGTTGATTGGGATTTGGAGAACAGCTTCCCAAGCAGGTTGCCACACACACACATCCATTGCTCCAAGGCAAGCTTGAACATTAGCCTCAGCGTAAGTACAGTTAGACCGTGCCCTGGGTAGACCAAGGCTGCTGTGTCATATTTCTTTACAAGCTCCTCAGTCTCAGTATGAGTGGTCTTAGTACGGCTGGTCTGTAAAGGGGTGTTGGTTTTGGTGCAAGAAATCAGAAAGTTGGGACTGCCAAAACAATGTCATGAAAAGTTCGATAGGCATATGTCCTTCGAGGTAGTTAAAGGGCTTTAGCAAGCACAAAAATTTGGTGTCTTCTTTGTGGTATAAGAGAAAAGACCCAGGGTCAGTGGGTGGAAATTCCAGGAAGACAGAGTTCAGCTAAATATATGTCCTAACAATGAGAGCTATCAAACGATGGAATGAGTTTGTCTCTGAAAATAGTGAATTCCCATCACTGTAATTGTTAAGCATGGAATTGAATTTGAGGACTTTGTAAAAATGACTCAGATCCTTTTAGTTTTCATGCACCTTCTAATACCAAAATTGTACACAATCCACAATTTCCTTATAGAAAGTGTCCATCAATCTGATTCTACTCGCAGTCAGCCCCAGTTGACGTAAATATATTACATCCTGTAGGTTAACGTTTTAGTTTTATTTTGTGCTATCTTCAAAGCCACCTTTGGCCTTTGCTTTTGGCTATGCACTGAGAAGACCCAAGTAGACACTTCAAGCAACAAAGCATGTGTTTATTTTGTTGACAATGAATAATCACATTGCCATCTGCCCCATCTATCATTGCTGATCGTGATAAGTCAATTAATGCCAAGCATTTTCCTTGGCACAGTCGTTATCTGAAGAGTTGTAGATTAATTGCAGTCTTGTCTAGTGAGGTTATTGTAATTGATGGTAATCATTTGCTTTGTTTTATAAAGCTGCATGGATGTACAACACAGTCAGCAACTGTGTTTTTTATAAAAATTATTCATGTCCTACACAGAGAACTCCTGGATGCCTTGTTGAGGGTTGGTGATAAATGAGCATATTCAGGGATTCAAATGTCTCGATTTTTTCAAGAAGGGAAAATTGACTGTTTTTAATAAGTAAGACCCTTAGCTTGCTAATCATGTCTAAGTGGTGAGATTAATGTCCAGTATAAAGTAGAGTATTTACGAAAAAGAAACAAAAATAGTAACCAGGCAAAAGATAATATTTGAAAAGAATCATGCCTGTGGATTAAGTTGCAGTTGTGAGGCCAGACAAGAAGAATCTTCCTTATTTGGGGGAAATTGGAAATATTTAATTTAAAAACCTTCCTTAGACTCTTCTTTTTAAAAGGGTAAGGAGGTACCCTGAGAACCGTACCAACCACTTCACGGGGTACCTGTGGCCAGAGCCTCCTGTTTATTTTACCCACTCTTCACATGGCTATGTGCTTCTGCTGTGTGCTGAGTTCCACAGCCCAGCTCCTGCCCAGAGAAGCATCAGGCTATTGAGAGATACATATATTTATAATACAATGTAAGGTGGATTATATTTGAGGATTGTTCCAGAAGGGGATTATGAAATAGCTCTCTCTGGATTGTATTAAGAGGGGAGTGGATGAACAGCTGTGTGGCCTGGCACAGTTACTGCTCCCTCTGAAAGTGGGGTAGAAACACATCAATCCATCAAGTCTCAGCATCCTGAGTCACTGATTCTGCTCAAACACATCTGAGGGAGGAAAAAGTCCATAACTGTTGCTATGGTGACATAGATGAGATTTGTTTAAAAGGAGGGAATTAAAGTCATGTGAAAAAAAATATATATATATGGTTGTCGGAAAAGTCATGATGCATTTTTGCAACGAAAAACATAGAAAAAAATACGTCATGGCTTTTCTGACATCCCAGTATTTAGTGGCTCCAAATCAAAATATAGAAAACAATTATCTTAGAGCTAACAACTGAGACTAAACAACAGAAAAAGCAGGACTGTCCTCTTAAAGGAATCAATTATTTGCATTATTGAGAGGCTGGTTTCATGAAAGCAAAACAAATTTGTAGGAATAAGCAACTACCACCAAATTAGCCTGAAGTGTACTAGGGTATGAAAAGTGCTGAGGAACATGCAACTGAGAACCAAGGCCCCATCGGGCATTGACTAGCTCTGGTGGGAAGTGCTCCATCCATTTAATTAGCACTTTGCTGTGAGACTGGGACCTCCTGGTAGACGTGCTCTGTTGGCACAATTGGAGGGTTGAGGGTGAAAGAGAATTGGGATGTTTAGGAATAACAGGTACACGGCTAGTACATATAGGGAGCTATTTGGGTGTCATGGTAAAACTGTTCCCTTTACCCTGAATGCCAGCTCCATCTCTCTCCCCCCGCATCCAGCACAGCACCACCCCCTGCTCCCCTGTATACCTTTCCAAGCCCCCTTGCCTTCTCCCAGACAGCAAAGTGCTGCCTCCTCTTTATTTCTAGAGAATCCTATATATCCATCTGTTACAAGAGTCCACAAACCATAGCCTGTTGGCCAAATTCAGCCCAGCAGCTAAGAATGGTTTACATTTTTAAAGAACTGTTT